TAGACAAGAGTAGATGTAAGTACAAGGTGCAATGACACCACAAAGAGGTCCCCCAAGTCACAGAGTCAGTAAGTGTCAGAGCCGGGATTCAAATCCTGGACTGTCTGGGTCCAAATCTCAGCACCTTCCACCATTTGGGCTACACAACTATAGTCTTCTGGACCCTTAGTCATAGTGTGAGTTCTGAGGAAGGGCAGTAGCCTTTGCTTCTGGCAGGGAATTTTTAAGAGCAAGGAGAGGAAATTGGGAATTGGGATGTGGCACACAGAGGTAACCTAGGGTCACCACAGGGTCTGCACATCAGACCCGGAAAGAATGATGGTGCCCTCAAAGTTACTGCACCATGGAGACCCTCCCCTGGGACAGGACTGATTCCAGAGTCTAGAGGTGGCAGTGAACGGTTCTAGCTATGGGAGCCCCTGGGTCACTAGAGGCAGGAAACCTGCCTGGTCCTTAGAGAGGCAGATTGGAGTCAGAGAGTGGAGGGTCTCAAAAATCAAGCTGGGACTGAGGGGAGAGGCCATATCGGGGGTGGCAGTGGGGATAGGAGTATGAAATCAGACACTTCTCCGGCTGGAAGGAGAACCTGCCTACTCTCTAGGATCGTCATTTCCTTTTTACTTCTGTTGAGTTCAATAGATCCTGACAGGATTGTCTGCCTTTATGAAAGCAACTCCTTTGCTTTCAAACTTTGCTGATTTCTCCCTTCTGAGCACCAGATATGGAAGATATGTGAAGCCTCAGTCTTTTCCAGGGATGTTTTGCCTCTGACTAGTGGCTGGATAGCCCAAGCAGACCTTGTACAGTTGGGACAGAGCTGTGGGATTTATGACATTTGTGAGCCATGTGTCTGGGGCATGTGAATCACAACTGTCTCTGAGCCAGTGGGCAAGGCAGGGGGAAGCCAGAGGCTTTGAGATGAAGACACTAGGACGAGAGAGGGGCAGAGAGTAGGCAGAGAGTGGAGCAGCATGGGGAAGAGAGCCTCCCTGGGCAGGTGGCTCCATTTGATTTCCGATTTAAGGGGGAGGCTTAGATAGCCAAGAAGAAAAAGGCTAATAAGAAAAATATTAAACTGCAGTGTGTGTGTCCCCAGGGACTTCCTGTTGCCATGACTGACCTCCCGGAGAGTGCCATTCGTTCCGGAGCATGGCAGCTTTATAGGCACTTGTAGGCCTGCAAAGAACACCAATTTGCTGCTGCAGTTTGTTTTGATAACTGAAACTTTCAATAAATCTATATTAAAATCAAAGGGAAAATTAACTAGGCCCTAGTGAGGGGCATGGAGATAAGGGAGCACATTACCACCCTGGCCTCAGCCACCCCACATCCGTCTCTTAGTTCAGATTCAGGTCACCAGGGAGATGGATGGCTCAGGCTCCTAGAAGCAGCCCTGGGGAGAGCAGGGAGAAGAAGGCATGGCCAGGTCCAGCCCCCACTGCTCCCACCTCTATCCTCCAGCAGTCTTCTGCCACTCGAGGAGCAGTGGGTAGTAAGGGTGCGAATAATAGTAAAAGCCACTATTTACTGAACTCTTTACTCCAGGTACTGTGCTAAGCAGTTGGATATTTAATTCTAATAACAAGTAGGTAACTAGTGTCATCTTCACTCTCGAGATGAAGAAACCAAACCTCAGTGAGGTATGTGACTGGCCCAAGGTGACAGACGGAGCCAGGACTCAAACCTGCACAGGCTCTCTCTGAGCCCACACTCTTGTAACTGCACCATACTGTCTTACGTAGCTTACACGGACTATCATGGCAGCAGCACTTTTTCCAGTTCACAGATAAAATGGTTTCAGACCCAGTCTGGATTCTCTCAGCTGCGCCAAGTTTGGGGGCTGCCATGCACTGTCCTTGGGTCTTTTGTTCTGTGCCCCTTTGATTGCCAGTTAAGGTCCTAGCTTTTTTTTTTTTTTTTTTTGAGACAGAGTCTCACTCTCTTGCCCTGGCTAGAGTGAGTGCCGTGGTGTCAGCCTAGCTCACAGCAACCTCAAACTCCTGGGCTCAAGCGATCTTCCTGCCTCAGCCTCCCGAGTAGCTGGGACTACAGGCATGCGCCATCATGCCCAGCTAATTTTTTTTTCTATATATTTTTAGTTGTCCAATTAATTTCTTTCTATTTTTAGTAGAGACGGGGTCTCGCTCTTGCTCAGGCTGGTCTCGAACTCCTGAGCTCAAACAATCCGCCCGCCTCGGCCTCCCAGAGTGCTGGGATTACTGGCGTGAGCCACCGCGCCCGGCCCAAGGTCCTAGCTTTGATGGCCACCTTGCTGATTTTCCCTGGTGGTTTGACAGAGTAGCAGAATACCCAAGTCTCATTGGTTCCTATTCTCCGTGTTCATTTTAGCTCAGTCACTTAATCCAGCAGCCAAGAGTCTGTCCAGGGTGTATCTGTGTCTATGCACTGGACTCAGTTCATCTGTCTCCCAAGATTCACATGCCCTTGACCCATCCATGCCCCAACTCTGGGAACTGGCCATTTATTTATTGGATAGCCCAGCTGCCACTACTACCTCATTTAGTAACATATCTGGTTATCTTAGTCTGCCCTGGGACGAGAGCTAGGTTTTGATACAGCCTCCAACGTGCCCACTATGGTGGGACTGCAGTGGGCCCAATTTGACCAAACCAGAGGCTTTGACTCTTCTCGTCATTTCCAGTGTCAGACGAACCACCGAGCTTCAGGGTATGGAATCTGGTACCCCCTGTGGCTACCAGCATGGTGGGGTAACACAACTCTTCCCTTCTACCTGTCTGAGACATAGTGGTTCTACAGGGTCTGTCTAGAATACATCCTGCATGACAGAGCAACTAGCTATGTTTTCTTTGAGGCTTTGGCCAACTTCTTGGTAATATACTACCTTATATTTTTGCTCCCTCCTTCCCTGCCTCACTTCCCTTTTCCCCTCACCCTTTATTTATTTATTTATGATTTATTTACTTATTTTTAAGAGAGGGGTCTCACTATGTTGCCCAGGCTGGCCTTGAACTCCTGGGGTCCTCCTGTCTCAGTCTCCTGCCTCCCCAGTAGCTGGAACTACGGCTGTGTACCACTGTGCCCGGCTGCCGCCACTCTTGATGTCCTGGGAGTATAATCCTCAACTAAGTTTGAGCATATAAGCTTTGCCACATACTCTGTTTTCTAGGGAACCGAAAAGAAAGCACACAACAGAGACAAGGTGTGAGGGAGCCAAATGCTGGCTTAGGCAGCAGCGTAAGGCACCAAGTGTATACTGAGCTCTTAAACTGTTCTATTATTTGAATGCATTTTGCCAGGTCTTTGTGCAAAAAGAGCTTACATTCTAGTGAAGTCTAGAAGATGTACAGTTGAGCACTAGAGCACCAATGAGGAAAGAGCACATTTTGGGGAAGGCTCCACAGAGGATATTGGGGCTGGACATTAAATAAAGCCTTCAATCCAGATAGTATAGATTTACTTCATTCTTATGGGCAAAAAGGTTGGCTGTGCCCTATTCTCAGATCAGAACTCAGGATATAACAAAGCCATCTCATTGCCTCTGATTTGTCTTATTTATATATTTACTTAGTTGTTTATTGTATGTTCTTCCTCTCCCATTCACTCCCCAATTTAAAAGCACCTTGAGAATATAGGTTTTGTGTGTCTTATTCATCATCGGATCCTCAGCAACAGAAACAGTGCCTGACACTCAAGGGAGGCACTATAAATATATGCAGACTGATTGACCAACTGGGGTTCATGTCTAGGCAAGAGCAGGAGGAGGAAGACCCAGTTTCCAGCTCCAAGAATCAGGGGATAGGCAGATGTGCCTCCACTTTATTGACCTTAGGATAAGTCTGTGCCTGTTACTGTTTGTTCTCTCTTTTGTTCACAAACATTTATTGCAGGTCTGCTTTATGCTGGGCACTGTGCTGGGTAATACTGATACAGCATGAACAATATGGAAATAATGTTTTGTCTAAAGCAGCTTACAGTCCATAGGGGAGAGACGACAAGGCAATAGACAATTATAAAACAATGTGATAAATGCTGTAGGTACATAGTAGAATCACCTAACCTATCATATGGGTGGGATTAAGGAGGCATTCACCGATAATGGGGATTACCAGGCATTCCCAAATTTAGCCCAGAGCCATACGTTAAGGTCAGATCTCAGAGGTGGTAGGGCCCAGAAATGATGTCATTGTCTTAAGTGAAAATCTGTGGATGGCACACAGAGGTGCTTGGTAACTGAAGCTGGGCCTAGAAGATGGGTCCTGACTGACTGGGAAGCTGTCAAAGCCATCACTAGCTTGGCCAAGGCTGGAGTTTCCCAGCTCATAAATTGGTACCCATGACTTCCCAGAGAGGCATAACCAAGATGAAAAAACACATCTCTGGCTTTGGCCAGACTTCTCTCCAGCTGACTGGAAAGACCGACTGTGGGAGCTTCTCACAGCTGAGGCCAGAAGCCTTCTCAACCTGAAGTTTCCTTCCAGTGGGCCCGAACAAGTCAGTTCCTGCTTCTTTAGGAAGGCCCTTCAGAAATCGAAGCATTTCCTTCTCAGCCTAAACCCCGCCTCCTCTCAGGTTTCCCCCAGGCCCATATCAGAGAGTAGACGATAATAATTACTTGTTGAATGCACGAATCATAAGAACGTATCATCTAAATAGAACCTGTCATCTTAAGAGCCTATACTCACCTTATGGGTATCTTAGAAGGTGGGAAAAGAGAGAGGGGGATCTGGGTCCCTCTAGGCCTTAGAAAGTTTTCGTTTAAAAAAAAAAATTCCTTTCACAGCTCGGAAGTGCCCCCGCCCTGCCTTCTCTTCTGAGTACGTGCAACCTCAAAACTACAAGTCCCATAAGGCCGGCCGCCGGGAGTCACCATCTTGACACACCTTAGCGCGCATGTCGGCGGGAGAGCGCGCATTTGGGGCGAAGAAGCTCCGCCCCACCACAGCCCATTGGTCAAAGGGGCCGGCAGCGGGCCCAGCGGTTGGCCACAGCGCCCGCCCGTCCGCCGCGTCGGTCGGGGTCAGAGTGCGCGGAGGTGAGTCGGTGTGTTGTGGACTCGTGGTGCTGGCTGCCGCTTTTGAGGCGGCCGGGAACGGGCGGTGGGGAGCAGGCGGAGGTGGCCCTTCCTCTGTCTGGCCGGCGCCGCAGTCGGCGCGGGCCGCGCCCGTCGCCGTCCACTGCCCTGAGCGCCTGCTGAGGCCAAGGGAGACGTCGGGGCCTGCACCTGGAGGGAGCCTGCCGCGCTGGCCCCAAGGAGGGGGCGTTGCCATGGCAACAGCCTCTCCCGCAGCTGACGTGGGGCGGGGGCGGCCCTGGGAAGGAGGGCTGGTCTCCTGGCCCCCTGCCCCTCCCCTTACGCTCCCCTGGACTTGGATGGGCCCGAGTTGGGGGCAACACCCCGGGGTGGGTGATGCTGAGTGGCCCCCGGATTGGGCCCTGGGTAATGCATGCGGGGTGAGGGTCGCGTCGCACACATTTTGTGCGGCCTGGGTGCTGGCCCATGTGCTCACCCTGGATGCATGATCTACTGAGTAACGTTGTGGTGGAGGGGGCGCGGGGCAGGGCTTTGCAAGACAAACTGGGTGAGTTGATTAAGGGGGCTGACTTTTTACATAGGATTTCTAGAGAAGAGGAAGAGAGGTTTGACCAGAGAGGCTAGAAACGGAGCAAGAAGATTGTAGATAGAACATCCCCTTTCCCCCCTCCCTGACACAGACACGCACACAAGGTTAGCAGTTTATCTCTTTGTAAATCTGAAGTGGTGGTAGTAGTGATGGAAAGAGTGGATAAGGGGCCTAACCTGGCTAGCTTTCTGTTTGCCTTTCCTGTAAATGGTCCAGCAACAGGTGTTTTCTTAAAACAAAGCATGAACTTGGGCTGAGGCTTGATTGCGAGTTCTTGAAAAATATAACTGCTTCTTGTTGACTTGGAAGATGCTTTATGTGGGGCCCCCTCAATGGGGGTTCGGATTGTGACCTTACGGATGGATTTTGTAACTGATAGTGCCCCATCATTGCCTTAGCTAGAGGTGTCTGGCCACCTCAGTGGCATTTACTCATGTCAGACGTTTTATCAGTCTCCCAGCTGAAGGGCAGTAAAACACGAATCCCATTGGCCAAAGACTATATACTCTTTGAACTATACTAGGTTGTGATTGGCTGAATGATTTTGATTGTACAATTTCTTCCAGAAATTGGCTTCATCAAATTCTGCTTTATTCTGACTTTATCATACACAGCATACCTTGTTTTAGTGGGTTCGTGCTTGAAGCTTAAGTATATTATACCTGAATCCCCTACCATTTAAAAGCCAATTTATAAACAGGGACTTGGAGTGTGACTCCGCTAATGTGTGTCTGTGATCTTGGTTAGAAACCCACTTGGCTGCTTTTCATCAGGAGGTGGAGGGTGGGGGAAGGGAGCTGCCGGGAAGTGATTGATAAGGTTTCCTTTATGGATTCTGTGGTGCTTCACTGGAGCTCAGAGCACTTTGGCAACTTAAGCACTCCAAATTAAAAGCCCATTAACAATTCCTGCCCAAAGATCCTGTAAATAATCAGCTAGCTAGGTCATAGAGCTTGGCTAAGAGCTCTCCTTCCGACTTGAAATTTCCAAATAAAAGTGCTTTTATTCCTTTTCATTTTGAAATGTGTTTTCTTTGTATTGGGGTAAACTGGTGAGTGGCCTTTTCCCAGGGGATCTGAGTAGAATAAAGTCTTAAATGTATGGAATAATAGACAGGAATATGTTGGTTCCAATTCTAGGTGTTTCTTTGTGCAAAGAGCATCACTAGCTTACAAGGGCATCTCTGCAACTTCTGATGCTTTGGAAGATCTAAATTAGTTTATCAATATGATGGATATCCATTGATGCTTTGACTTGGAGTTACCTTGACTTTCTTAGAACTTGAGACAGGCTCGGAAGTATCCTGAAAGTGTTGCCTGGTCCATGTGACCATATGGCCTGTGGGTTTGTGGCAACCAACCCCTCCCTGAGTCCTGGTCCAGCCTTAGTTCCAAAGTTCTGAATATTGTTGGACTTACCAGTGTTTTCTTCTTTGACTAGACTAGGATTCTGAAATTAGCCAGAGAGCCACCACTTCATGACCATCTTTCTCAGTTCAGGCTCAGATATGGTAAATGTTTAGTATAAGCCTCCTTAGGAGGAAAAGTATACTATTAGAGAACATGAAAATCATTACAAAAAACAAATAATAGTACTAAGCTTCTGAAAGCTCTGTAGGGGTACTGTCTTTCCACATAGATAGCTGTTATCCCAGAGTTTGAGTTTAGGAGTTAGAGATGTAGTATGATCCTTAATGGGGATTTGATCCTTTGTATTGAAATAGACTTGTTGCAGAGATGTGTATTTATTCACAGCATTGGGGCATTCCAGCTCTCACAGAACCTTCTGCATCCCCAGCAGCCAGTCTTGGCATCTTCGAAGTAAGGAGAGGTGAGAATCCTATTGCATGGTCAAGTTAAGTATTTGGACTTGGTGGGTAGAGGGTGGGGGTCGGTACAGATTTTATTTTTCTGTAACTTTTTGTGAAAAAGCAGCAATGCTCAATATGCTCAAAGCATATTGAAACTTACCCAGAGTCTATAAAGTGGTGGGAGTTGAAGGGGGGGCATCCAGACTCTCAAATTCTGTCATGATTTCTTTATGTGCATCTCATAAGCACCTACTTTAGGTTCAGGGTGGTTGCATGGAGCCAGAATAGTTCTTTACCCTGAGAAATACACATCTTAAAACAAGAGGAAGAAACACATTCATTTGGCTTTTCATAGCATATTTGACCAAGGCCTTTGGGATCTTGATTTAATTTGGGTTGTTTGTCACCTTTGGGTGGTTAATCCCAACCTATCTCCATTTTACAGGGATTGAGGTTAGCTAAAGAGGGGGACTCTGATGATTGATATCCAGGGACTCAGAGGCTGTTTGTTCGGTAACTAAGGGCCAGGCACTTTGATGGTTCCTGGGATTGTGATGGTGAACAAGACAGCCACTGTCCTTGACACCAAAGAGCTTACAAATTCAAAGCAGATAGTAAAAAGGTAGTTACTCTGAGAGTGCTATAGTAAGGGAACTGTAGGTACTTTGGCAGTACTCACAAGGGTCCCTAACCCAGACTTGTGGACTCAGAGGAAGCCTCTCAGAGGAAGTAAGCTCCTCACCTAGAATTAGATGAAGACATGAGGGACCAAGTGCCAGAACTTCATTGAGTTTGAGAAAATTTAGTGTGGTTGCAATAGAGTGTTTAGTGGGCAGGGGACAGGAGAATATGTAGAGATGGGACAGGAGAATATGTAGAGATGAAGCAGGAAAGGTAAGCAGAGGCCAGAGCCTTATAAACTCTTAGGATTAGATGGGGGGAAGAGTAGAAAAAAGATTAGATTAGAGGTCTGCAAATTTTTACAGTAAAGGACAAGATAGTAAATATTCAGGCTTTGTGAGTCTCTGGCACGGTTACTCTGTGGTTATGCATGAAAGAAGCCATAGACGATGTGAAAATGAATGAGCATGGATGTGTTCCAATAAAACTTTATTTGTAAAAAAAGGTGGCAGCTGGATTTGGCCCATGGACTATAGTTTGCTGACCCCTGGATCAGATTTAAGAACAGTAAGAAACCATAAAAAAGTTCGAAGCAGTAGATCGACATTAGATTTGTGTTTTAGGCTGGGCACGGTGGCTCACGCCTGTAATCCTAGCACTGTGGGAGGCTGAGGTGGGAGGATTACTTGAGGTCAGGAGTTCGAGACCAGCGTGAGCAAGAGCAAGACCCTGTCTCTACTAAAAATAGAAAAAATTAGCCGGGCCTGGTGGTATACACCTGTAGTCCCAGCTACTCGGGAGGTTGAGGCAGGAGGATTGCTTGAGCCCAGGACTTTGAGGTTGCTGCGAGCTAGGCTGATGCCATGGCACTCAAGCCTGGGCGACAAAGTGAGACTCTGTCTCAAAAAAAAAAAGATTTGTGTTTTAGAAAGTTTGCTCTGATTTCAGTGTGAAGAATAGATTGAAGGGGACAGACAGTACTGGAGGCATAGAGACCAGTCATGAGGCTGTGGCAGTTACATGGGTAGCATTTTATATTTCCTCTTTTGTGGCAATATTTTGAATCTTTGCACATTTATGTATATTGGTTCACTTTACTAACTTCCTGGCCATCTACTGGAGCTTACTGGATGTCTACTAAAGAATCTGCTGGAGGTACCAGCTCCTATTTCACAGCCTGGAAAAGATGGAGGGAGGGAAAGTTAGTATAGAATGAATTAAAGGTTTGGGGAACTACATTCTAATGAAAGAAGTATGGAATAAATGGAGCCCTGGAAGGGATCTTGTTCTTAGGGCTCATAGCTTAATGTCCATTACTTTGAACTTTTTGAACTGTACATGCAGAGGATGACCCATTTTCCTAAGCTTTCCAAGGAATTGTCCTCATTCTATATATGTCCTACTCAGTTTCTCCTTTCCTTGCTTGTAGTAGACTGATGACCTTTTCCCAGATTTGGAAATACTTCTCAATTCACATATGATAGTATATGTCAGGTACAGGAACCAAATAAAGTACTGTATTTGTTGAGTGTCCAATGAATAGGTTAGAGCCAATAATCCTGTGTCTGTTCTTTCCTTTTGTCTCTTTTTCCTACAAGCCCCAGTGTACTTATGTTGCTGGAAGGAAGCTTATAGGTTTCTGGTAACGGTGTTTATGTGATCTTGGGCAAGTGACTTACCTCTCTGAGCTTCACTTTGCTATCTGTAAAATGGAGGTAATGGGACTTAATAGAATTAGTTAAAGGATTTAATAATGTAGGTAAAGCTCTTAGAATAGTGTCTTAATAACTTTTATTACTAATAGTGTTTTACACAATAATTTTTTAAAAAACAGCCAGTAGTTGGGTGATTTGCCCTTTGGCTTACTATACTTTGGGTCCTCTCAATTGTCATTGTGTCCATATGATAGAAACATAGTCCCTGGTAGTGGTAGCCAGCAGACAGGAGGAATTTACAACTAAAGTAAGGAAGCACTCTTCATAATGGAAAATTTTCAGACAGCAGGAGTTCCATGCAGAATCCCAGAACTTTTTTCAGGGTGGACCTTAGTCCCAACACCATCAGTAAAGTGAATTGAGTGAGCAGCTTCCCGATAGAAATTCACCAAAGTGTGACCAGTCATTCCTCCCTGTTTAGGGTCATTTATTAGTGTTGCCACCCTGGTGGCCCTACATCTTTGTAAAGTGCTTCTCGAATATTTTTTATTACTTTTCACCAGCACTCTGGGAAGTGGGTCAGGTGGTCAGCATTCTTGTCCTTGCTATCCACGTGAAGAAACTGAGGCCCAGGAAGGTTAAGTGAGTTGCCTGAGGTCTTGCTGTGAGGTACTGTCAAAGCTAGTGCGTATTTGCTTCCAGATGAAATTGTTTTAGTTTATTGCTGTGATTTCGCTTCCCTTCAGTGAGAGATGTGTAGTCATTGCAGAACTGCAGTCTAATGCATGCCTCGTCTGGGTGTACTAGGCTTGATTTGGGTCCCACTTTATCCATTTGGTTCTGTTGGGTTTTAATTAATGACTGCTAGGACCAGATCTGTTGGGATGCAGATTTCCTTTGGGTCGTTTTTTTTAGCCTTTCCTCCTTGGGGACATTCCTTGGGGAGCTTTGGGTTACGAGGGATTGCTTTGATATGTTCAAAATTGTGCCTTGTGCCCCACAGCTACAGGTAAAATCAAAAGGCAGATAATTTATGGGAGTGTCAGAGCTGGCCGCTGGCACCTCAGGAGGCCATTAGTATGCCTGTTCAGACCCTCTGTGTCCTTGCAATTGATTCCTCTTTGCATGAGCCTGATTTGGGAAGCTGTAGATCTGTGGGTAGTGATTGGATGTGACAGTCCAAACACCGGTCCCTAAATTAATCCTTTTAATAGTATTCCGACACCAGGGCAATTCTCTCTCTCTCTCTCTCTCTCTAAGTGGGGAGGATAGAATGGGGTAGGCTAGGAGGAAGGATAGAAAGAGAAAGAAAAGAAGCTTTGTTCGGTTCTTAGGCCCTGCTCTGTTCTAGCATATTCTAATTCCAGAGCAGTTGGCATCATGACTTGGGGTATCTTAATGCATTCAGCAAACATTTACTTGTACTTACTCTGTGCCTGGTCCTGTGCTGGGAATACAGAAATGAATAAAACGTGGTCATTGCCCTTAAGGATGTAGCTCAGTGTTTCTTAGGCTTTTAAAACTCATGCACCACTTAGATTAAAAAGGAAAAAAAAAAAAACTAATCTCATGCTCTTCTTTAATGCTATTTGAAATTTTAAAATGCATTAAAGGTCTGACAAAAACCAAGTCAAAGAATTATCATGCCAAATATGCGTTCTATACACACATGTACACGTATTCCTATATGGCTATCTTCCATCCTTCTCCCCTAACTCCTTGAAAATTACTGGTAGTAAGAGAAACAGATACTAACACCTTACAACATAGTGAGATAAAAGTTTTGAAATAAGAATAAACTCTGCTACTGGATCACACTGAAGCAATTAACTTTATGATGGGGTGTCAGAGAAAGCTACTAAAACGGGAGTATTTGAGCTGGATTTTGAAGAAGGAGCAATAATTTGCCTGGTAAAGAATGGAAGTGCATTCTTAAACAGAGGGAGTAGCATTCACCAAGGCACAGATTTGTAAAAGGAAACATCACATTTGGGAACCTGAGTAAGAGCTGATTGAAACCCTGCTTCCGACCAGTTTTTCCTCTCTATAAGATGGAAAGATTTGCTCCTCTGGAATTGTGTTTGAGAGGAGGCTTCAAGTTCTTGTGCTACAGTTGTTTTAATTCAAGGCAGCCTTTCCTGTTTCTACTTTTGTGCTTGGGGCTCCGATTTTTCTTTTTAAAGTATGAAAAAAATTATGAAAAACAAATTGGGATGATTTGGACGCAATTATTACTTAAGGTTGAGTTACTTTTAATTAAAGTCACATTTTACCTCAGAAGAAAAACTGGAGTTGATATGCATTGTTAGCCCTATGGCTGATGGAGGAGTCAGTCATGTGGGGAAACCTGGATCAGCAGACACGGCGGAGGAGAATAGGGCCCCAAAGAGCTGAGCACCTGTGAGCCTTAGTTTCCGTATGTATTGATAGTTGGGAGGATTAAGTGAGATAAAATATGTAAATCAGCAATATAGTACCTGGCTTATAGTGGATTTTCAGAAAATGGTGTTTCCCTTTTCTCTTATGTGTTAACAACGGTGGCTATCTTCTATTGAGCACTTACTGTTGTGCTACATTGTATGGTTGTATCGAACCCCAAAGATACAGGTGTTATTACTATAGCAGTTATTGCAAAGAATTTGTAGAGTCAGGGTTTGAACCTATGTTTGTCTAATACCAGTGGGTTACCCTAGATCATGTGACTCCTTGCTTCTATACCAATTCTCCATCTCAGAAGCATGAGT